TATGTTCAATCCACTGCTTGATTTAAGTTTAATGTATATTTTGAATAATGTTCTTTTGTACACTATTTTCTATGGCGAAAAAATGTACACATTTAGTTTTGACTTGTAACCGATTTAAGTTCTGAATGATGTAGGCCTAACTTGTATCAACTTTGTTTTTATTTGTACTACTTCTATTTGGAAAAATAAACGTTTCATAAAACAAAAAGAGAAAGAGGGAGAGAGAGGGGATGGAGAGGGGGGGGGGGGTCTGACAGACACACACACAAGTAGACGGACACAGACAAAAAAGGGAAAGGAGTGTTGAGTGGAAAAATTTCCAATACATAAGATATGGATTTTAAAGTGAATATTTGTCATCTGAAGAATTAAAAGAAATGACATGGCAAGAGCCGTGAAGCAATTCAACAAGTGAGTGTTTTGTCATTAATTTTCAAATAAATGTGTCAGACATAAACCTGTCAGAAAGAACGGTATACGAGATAAATCTACTTCTACGTGAATATTATAAAATGAATATCTTACTTTTCTGACCCAATAGCGTTTAGATAGGACGTTTATTCTGTTGTGCCGAATGGGGTAGGCTTGGTGCAGGTGGGATGAGTTATGTTTCAGTGCCCTCCATACCCCCCTTCTCTCTTCCTCTCTTACCCCCCCCCCCCCATCCCCTCCCTGTATCTCTCACAGTCTCTTTCCCCTCTCTCTCTCTCTCTATCTCTCTCCCATCTCCCTTCCTTTCTCTTAATTCCCCTTTCTTTCTCAAATGTCTAGTCTTTCCCTTATATATATAAATATATATATATATATATATATATATATATACACACGCTTCCTCCTCTTGTTATCTTGAGATTTTGCCAAACCAATCATAATGAATTGAGAAAATGAAATCTTGAGTAGTTTGGACCGCAAGGAGATTTTTTCCCGCAGAAGGTTATATAACACACATTCACTGCTGAATAGCCATTGGTATAAAGTGCTCATCAACACAGTAAAACGCAAATCACAACATTCATATGACAAGATATGACAAGATTTTTTAATCATTGAGTTGTCTAATCAAAGTTTAACAAAATAATTTTTTTTTAAATATGCATCCTTTAAAAAAAAATTGTGAGAGGGCAAATCCAAGATTGTTTCTCCAGTCCAACTATAGGTCAAAAGTCAATCTTGTCTCATGCCTGTATATTGTTAACAGCCCTATCAATGCTATGATCTGGGGCCTGTTGCATAACGCTTGAATAGAGCCATGGTATTAATATTATTATTATTATTTATATACTGCGCTTTTCCCAGAGCGGCCCAAAGCGCTTACAAGAAGAAGAATTCTACAAAAAATGAAAACAAAAACGTACAGAATCCTAAAAATCTGGATTACAAAAAGAAACGTTTTAAGTCCCTTTTTGAATGAAGAATCTCCAGCTAAATAAGCATGCGACACCTGTTCTACACTTCTTCACATAATAGCAGTGAAGGGATGTTCCACAGCAATTGTTGGGGGTAGAATGAGGAACTGTATATTTTGTCCTCTTTCTTTGTCCGTCATATTCATAGTGACATTTTATCTTGAAGTCACATACAACACTGGAACATCATGCACGCCGCTTTGAATTTATAAAACCAAGGATTCCTCCACTGAACAGTAATAATGCAAACCAATGCAATAAAAGTCAAACAGAGACATCTTTAATATGAAAATATGTATTTTGTTTTAATATTGTGCATACAAATTATCCAGTTTTCAATAAAACAAGGGAAATGTGTATAAATAGAAATGAAACTTGATAACAGATTGTTTTAAAACAATTAGATGACTGATGATTGTTTTACCTGACTGCTAATAAAGCATGTATATGCTTGCAGGGGATAGACGGCTTTAAGTTCTCTCCGAGGGACTTGGTAATGAGGATTAGTACATTACCAAATGACACAAGCGCATTGACTATAGGTTTCAAACCTGGAATCTCTCGGTTATGAGACCACTGCTCCACCACTGAGCCATCGCACCTCCTGACTGAGTACCCAAGTAGTGTGCTGTGTAATAATAATAATAACAATATTCTGTGTTTATATAGCGCTCAATACATCGATCCAACGATGTGCCTAAGCGCTTTACAGATATATTATTACCCCGGTACATGTACATAAAATGAAAACTTGATGGTTGAAAAATGAAATCAACATACATGAACATGGAGTTCATGAGTACATAAATACATTTTATTTGTGCAATAATCTAGCATAAATACATTTAGTAACTTTGTGTATCATAATACTGCAGCATTCATTCTACCTGAAATCAAACATTGAAATGTGAACATCACATTGTATTTACCAACCCGATCAGATATATGTATGTAAATTGTTTAATTTTTGACCTACTACTCTACCATAGCACTTTATTAGAAAACGGATGAGTATCAGAATATATTTTGCCTTGGTAAAATGCTTTATCTCATTTTTCCAGACCTGCCAACCTCTGGAGTTCAAAAACTGTATTCTTTATTCCCAAAAGTTGTATTTTACAGACAAAGTTATATTCTTAAAAATAAACACGGACTGATACGCGGATCAATGCCTCTTACAGTTCCTACATACTAATACAGGAAGAATTTTTTTTAATGGATCATTGGTTGAATATGCATGATTTCGTCGCGACTGTTGAGTTTGATGAACCAATGAACATCCCTAAATTGCTGATGTAAGATGCTTGTAGGATACTTTAGAGAACAGAATGGGCATTTTGCCATTGAAAATGACACACACACAAACAAACAGCAACAACAACAAAATTATTATAAAACAAAATATATATAAAATTAAAAAAAAAAAAAAGTTTTTGTTTTTGTTTTTTTGTTTGTTGTTAAAAATCATATTTTATTGAGGAAAATCGTACTGTCGTATTTGCTTCTAAGAATCGTACAAATTACGACTAAATCGTACTGGTTGGCAGGTCTGTTTTTCCCTCAGCATGAATGCTATGAAAACTTACGTAGTCCTGTATTAAGGCATTTTGATTCAGTTGGCAATAGACATGACAATGGCATGAAATTAATATGTTATCACACTTTATCAAAGATAGTTTAGTACATGATGGGTATGCATCATAGTCTACTGTCACACCAGCTTTGGCCTAGCAATGCCATAAATATTGCACATTGGGTATAGATACATGAACTATAGTGCAACCTTGTTATGAAAACTCCTTGGGAACAAGAAAATTAGCTTGTTACATGGAAACCCTGTTAAGACTCGTTCTGATATAATGCGGTAAACTGCAGCATTTTCCCCTTTTTTTGATAAAGATGTAAAGTGTAATGTACTTTATATTTCTATATCTTATAATATGAATTGTGTTGCACATACACTAGTCCACCCCAGGACTGTTCTGGTTAATTGAGTGCACACCCCATAGCACACACACATACATATTATACGCACATGCAGAATAGTCGTACCGAGATTTTTTTCGGGGAAAGTGAATCACTGGGGTAAGTGAATCACTGGAGTAAGTGAATGAGCGCGGTAATATGACTGCGCCATCTGTTGGTTATGTGAGGGGGTTGCGCAAAAATAAAAATCGTCCAGAACGTAGACTACACATACACCTGTAGTTGCCATTTATATACTTTTTTAAAAAAATATATAAAGCCGCGGTTACCACTTCATATCTGAATGAGTCTTGAAAGATAAACTTGAGTTCTGGTAAAAAAAAACATTTAAAAATGAATTCTCACAGAATCTAACAAAATTTACACTGAATGTTCAAGATTACAAATAAATGTCATGTGCCAAACAATTTTGGAAGAAAATGTATACTGGCTCAGTAATGAGCATATAAAGACAAGGAAATCAAGGTAGTACTACTAGCCCTAACACCATTTGTGTTGTCCCATATACATCTTTCTGTGTACAGTGATTGTTACTTTACCAAGACTGGGCCAAATTTATGATGATTTTGATGACTCCAAAACCTTGCAGTACACACCAATACTTACATGCTATATGATCAACTTTTTCTGATCCATTCAACACCTTTTCTTTCACAATGCAATCGCATTACCAGAAATCACCTTTATCTTTAACATGTATAGATCAGGACCCCGTCTTACAAAGAGTTGATATCAATCACAACTATATGTACATATTAAAGAGATTTAAGAGAAGTTGCAAACTTGCGATTGATAATACAGGACTTGCGATTGATTTGATTCAATCGCAACTCTTTGTCTATTTAGGTCACTAAAACGAAGAAAAAAAGTGGCCACTGTAGACAATTAGCCTTTCTAGGCAGGTTCTACAATACACACTTTTCTCTTGAGGAAGACAAAATACATGGCCGCTATAGACAGGTGGCCTTAATAGAGAAGTGTCCATTAAGACAGGTTTGACTGTTCATGTATTTTTCCATCCAGAGAACAATTTCATTGATCAAGGTTGCAAGCTCTGCAAGCTCTTGTTATTTCTTCTCATTTAGATTTTGCAAATTCTTTGTTCTGTAACCTTCCAAAAAAAGATGTCACAAAACTTCCACGACTTCAAAATTCTGCAGCCCGCCTATTAACATTCACTAAGAAATCTGATTCAATATCACCAATTCTCTGTTCTCTCCATTGGTTGCCAGTTGACAAATGGATTATTTTTAGAATTATGTTACTAGTTCATCATTCAGTTAACTCTCTTTCTTCCCCTACATACCTGAGCAACTCTGTTTCAAAATACAACCCCACACAAAGTCTCCGCTCCTCATCAGACACGCTATTACTTAATCCCTCTACAAATACGCCAACTGTCGTCAACAGAAACATTCAAATTACAACTGAAAACTTATTTGTTTCTTTCGTTGTAAATATTGTCATATTCTAATTTACCATGTCTAGGAGAATTTCGAATTTTGTTTTTCGGTTTATTGTTTTTTCTTTCTTAAGTCTGTTACATGTCCTTTTCTCTAAGCGCCATGAGCACCGAAAGGTGGACCTGTGCGCTATACAAGTAGCCACCCTTATTATTATTATTATTATTATAATCTACAATTATAAATGGAAAAACAAAACAAGAGAAAATATAAAATAGGCAATGAATTTGGTACCGCTGACAAGTCTCATGGCAAAATGTGAAAAAAATATTGGCAAAGTGAGTTGAAATTTATTTGATTCTGTACTCAAATATACATGTAGGATGCATTCTCCTGAAGAAAAAAAGTTCCAACAAACTAGTCACATTGTCTGTTGAGAGCCAGAAGGGTGTTAACTCTAGGTAATTGGAGTTTTGATGTGGACCCGAGTGCAGGAATGTGTGGTGTCACTCGAGCAGACTTCGGTGTTGACTTCGGTGTTGACTTGCTCAATGTAGAAGTCAATCAACTGAAGTCCATCCAAATAACGAGTGTCTTCTAAAGCACCGGTACCCATCAGCTTGTGTGCTCTATTTCAGTTATTAGCGCGCTTTTGCAAACACAACGGAAGGCAAAGATGACAGTAACTTGAGCGAAAAAACATTGCGCGAACCAGAATTTTCTCCGTCCTCTTGATTTTCACGACCGTACAGGACCATTATATCGTTCGTTCCCTAAACACGACGGAAGAGCTGTATCCCGTAATTCTCTCGTCGTCTATGCTTCCACTGTGTTTGCGAAAGCACTCTATTAATGGAGTAGATGGTCCATGTGTGGAAGACTACATGAAGTCTTGGTATGATGGATCTTGGTATGACAAATCAAAATACCCTCAAGGTACCTTATCACAGTCCGGAGTCTCATCTGGAACAACAGCGGACTTCAGCGTTGACTTGTTCCTTGCTGAAGTCAATCATGAAGTAGATCCTGGAGACGATCTATGTCTGGACGTCAACACAGGGTCCTGCGTTTGACGGAACGGATCAGAGACACTGTAGAAGTACCTAATCAAGATCTGGAGTCGCATCTGGAACAACAGCGGACTTCATCGTTGACTTGTTCCTTGTTGAAGAAAATCATGAAGTAGATCCTGGAGATGATCTATGTCTGGACGTCAACACAGGGTCCTGCGTTTGACGGAACGGATCAGAGACACTGTAGAAGTACCTAATCAAGACCTGGAGGCTAATCTGGAGCTTCACCATTGGTAGGTGATGTCCCCTGAAAAGATTCTGAAGCTTTTGATGGAGCGACAAACTTGACGCTCCGAACACGTTTACCTCCTTTCTTGATCGCAGAATCTATCGTTGGCTGAAACAACTGCAAGGCATCCTTTGTACCCCAGTACGTTGTCTTTGAAAACTCATCCTTCACATGTATAAAGACATGGCAATTTGTTATCTCTGCAAGCTGGTGTCCCTTCTTCAATATACCCTTGACTCGATTAGACTTGGCCTTGCAGCGCAGCCTCTGACTTCCCAAGAACTGCAGCCTCTTGTCGACAATCCTGTTTGAAACAATCGGGAAAATATCACTTACATTTTATAATTTAATTTTGTTCAACCCATTGCATGTGAATTTGATGTTAATAAAGAATACATTTCCAGACTCAAGCCCAAGGTATTTTTGGCTGAGTATTCAATGGGTTAAATCATGCAGATTAAAGGTTGCAATATGGGACAAAATGTGTACATGAAGGAAAAAAATGACAATCATATTATTAACTATTTTATTTAGGTTCAAAACGTGATAAATAATAATAATAATAATCTTTTAAAGTCCACTCCAAATTTTATTAAACCGAAAATGAAAATTCTTTTTGCCCAATTGATCGTGAGTCCGGCATCCACTGAGCAGCGCCAGATCGACGTTGCTCTATCCCTTATTGTTGAACGCCAAAAAAGGTAGCAGCAACTCCTGTCTTTTAACGTCTTTTGATATGATGCGGCCGGGGTTCGAACCCATGACCTCCTGGTTGTGAGGCGGACGCTCTACTGACTGAACCAACACACCGGTCTTTTAAAATTATCCCCTTGGTCTCACCTTTTACCATAAACTCAGTCCTGTAAGACGATACAGCTTGATATGATTAAAGGGAGTGATGTCTCCTACAGTTTCAAGGGAACAAATTCAAATTATGTATAACTACCCCTAGAACCAAACCAATTATTGCTTTTAAGAAGTTTCTAATATTCCTTGTAACATCCCATCTTTAATCGTAGTTTATCCATGGGACTGTAAATAGCATGTTTTCAAAACCGAGACAAGCCCCCAAGTTCTGTATAGATATGATTAACCCAGGAACTTACACAGTTTTCTCTTTGGTGTTCCCTGGTAATATTCTTGCCTGATCCTCACTCACAGTTCTGCTTTCAGCAGGTGCTTCCAACTTTTACGGAAAAGGATTGGTTGGAGACCTGCAGGGAGTAGATTCCGGTGAAGACTGACCTGTAGCTAATGCTGTTTGAGATGTGGATCCTGCCAATGATTCATTTGCTGAGCTTGAGATCAGCAATTCGTCGTTTGATGTGTCGTCTGATCCATGCGACTCATCATCAGGTTCCAATGGAGCGACAAACTTAATGGTCCATATCGGTTTGTCTTCTGCCTTGATTAGTGAGTCTACATGTATCATTGGCTGAAACAACTGCAATGCATCACTCGTACCCCAATATGTAGTCTTTGAAAACTCGTCCTTCACATATACGAAGACCTGGCATTTCGTAAGTTCCACAAGCGCATGGGCCTTCTTGAAGATACTTTTTATTCTTCTACATCGGGACTTAAAACGTAGGCTGCTCTTTTCCCTGAACTGGAGCTTCTTGTCTACAAACCTATTGTTGAAAGAATTGGGAAAAACATCATAAACAACTTCAAAGCACATGAAAAATAATTTATTCATTTTGCCATTTTAAAGTTTTTTAAATGACATTACAGCAACCATACAAGAGTCATTAATTCTAATTGAATTTAGAACAAACTTTGTTTTTTTTATTATTGTAGTGCCTCTCTTTTGAGAATACATTTGATACACTGTATTACAAAGTGAGATTTCCTTTGAAAATTGATATTACACTTGCAACTTACACTTTTTTCTCTTTGATGGTGATTTGTGGTATCTTGGTTTTGCTTGGAGTACCCTTTTGTGGAGTTGACTTTTGTCCAGCCCTGCACGGAGTTAACTCTGGTGTTGATCGGTTTGTAGATCCTTGCGATGATTCACATGTTGAGGATGGCATTAATTCTTCCCTTGGAGTGCCCGACCCAAGGCACCCTTCAAGATGCCTATCAATGTCCAAAGCTTCACAGGGAACTGCGCCCCGGGACTGTTCAGGACTTGATGGAGCAACAAAGTTTACACTCCGAACACGTTTACCTCCTTCAACGACAAGCAGGTCCATCTTCGACTGAAACAACTGCAACGCATAACTTGTACCCCAGTATATAGTCTTTGAGAACTCGTCTTTCACATACAAGAAGGCCTGGCACCTTGTAAGCTCGGCTAATTGGTGAGCCTTCCTGAAGAGACTCTGGACTCTATTCCACCTTGCCTTGCAACGACGCCTGCTATCTTCCACGACCTGCAGCTTCTTGGCTACAAACCTGGTATGAAAGATGGGAAAATATAACTTAATTTGATTTTGTAAAGATTTTCCAATGAAATTGTAATTGTATCATTAAAAGCAACATCACCCTTATTATAACATTAATAATCTTTGATTGAATGTTAAAGATACAAAGCTTTATAGTATAAATTTCCATTTCTTAAAGGTAAAGACCAGTTATGGTCATGCGATTGCATTGTGAAAGAAACGTTGTGGAATCGATCAGAAAAGGTTGATCATCTAGCATCTAGCATCTGCAAGGTTCTGGAATCATCAAAATGATAAGAAATTTGGCCCATTCTTCGTAAAGTTACAAGCACTATACACAGAAAGATGTATATGGGACTACCCTATATCTCTCACAGACCATGAGAGAAACAAATTTACCAAATATATGAATTAGTAGGCGGTTTCCCGGCAAATTTTTTATCATCATGTATTAGTCAAAACATATTCTTTCACATGAATGGTAATGAGAGCTTCCATTTCATTTTTTGAAATTGGGGCGTTTCCAATACTGGTCTTTACCTTTAAAAGAATCTTTGTACATCTCTGTAAATCTCCAGTCTAATAAAACAAGTCAAAAGTAGTATATCAAATGTTCTTTTCAACTTTCCCTAAATGTAGTCCTCCAAAAGCTTTTGGGAAGCAAAACAATAAAGGTCTCTAGTATGGAACTTTTTACAAAATAGTGAGTTTTCATTGAAAAAATAATGACATTCAATTTTTTCCAAATGTAAACACGATCATTCTATTTCAAACATTCATGGATTGCTATTCTATAATCTTATATCTATAACAAATGAAGAAACATTTAAACTGCTTTTACAAGTCACTACCATGTAAAAATCCAATTAATTCTTTTAAATGATATTTGTCTTCAAAAAACTGATACTAGCAACTTACACTTTCTTTTCTTTTGCGTTGACCTGTGGCATTCTTGTTGTGGTCTGGCTCGAACTTCCCCTCGAGACAATCGATTCCCGCTCCTGGGCAGTCAACTCATGCATAGATCGACTTGTAGAACTCAAGTGCAGATCGGGATCGGGATCAGGAGCTTCCACGTTGCCCGGGATTGCACCCCAACTCCCTCAGAAATAAGAACACCTCACTCTTTGTTAGTTCAGCAAGTTGGTGGGCCTTCCTGAAAATACCCTTGATTCTATTATACTTGACTCTACTTCGATGAGAGCTGTCTTCAACAAACTGTAGTTTCTTGGCAAGACACCTATTTTTAAAGAATGGGAAAAATATGTGTATTAAACAAATTTAAAAGCACAAACACTACAGTATTTTTTTTTCCTGCATAGAATTTTAACAAGGGGGGAAAACCTCTAATTCCAAAGTAAAATGCGCCAAAGTAATTATCTTTATGTTTTTTTCAAAACAAAATAATTGACATTCCTTAAATTCAATTTACAAATAAATCTAAATTCTAAAAATATACAACAATAAATATATAACAATTAAGTTCAACTTAATAAGTAAATATTCAACAATAAATCAATGCTAATATCATGCAATGATATACATATACTTACACTTGGTTTTTGTGCTAAACGAACCCTTAAAAGTATACGGGCGGTTTCGTTTAACCGTTTAATAATAATCTGAAAAAGTGAAAATACAGTATTTGTAATAGTGCTGTAGCTCGGAACCCTGCTGGTCTTCAGACTGTCGGGCTGAGCATTCCCAGCCCCGGACTATGGCACAAATTGGGTCATCCTGATAAACAGAGACCAGTAATAAACAACATAAAACATGTCTTATTATTCCTCATCTGAATTTGATATCATGATTAACCTTGCAAAGTTACTCTGTGAAGATAGCTGATCTGTGACGTGTTTATATATGCCTTTGCAATGCAATGTTTGCACATGTCAGGGAGAGAGCTCCCTGCATGTATCATTGCCATATGAAATTATGTGGAAGTGTGTATCACACACACCCAAGACACACCCTGCAATGAGCTGATCCAAGTTAGTGACCAATCAGGAAGGTTCTCTAGCTATGTGGGTGGAGTTTGATACCAGCATAAATTACAGGTTGGTGACCGCGCGTGCTTTCACCGTACCCAGTTCAGTGGGAGGTCAAGAAGCCACGCCCACATGTGTGCATGTGACAAGCATGAGCTCTCCATCTGTGTGTATGTACAGTGTATTTGGGCGCCGGAGGTTTGTGTGTACATGTGTGTGTGACTGAGAGAGCATGCATGGGCTAGCATGTCCCTGCATGTCCCTGCATGGACGAGGCAGGGACACGAGTAAAGAAGTAAAACAAGTGAGACTAGATAGAAAGGGTGGCTGTGTTAATCGGCTGAATTGAAGAATGATCAAAAACTTAAATTACTCACAATATCCAAGACTTTGTTTATTGATATTTCTAAAACTTCAATTATTATTGTTATCAATATTTTTGTATTTTATTTATATATGAACATTATTTTAGGGGGCGAGTCGGCAAGGGATGGATATTAATATTGAGAGAGAGAGAGAGAGAGAGAGAGACTCGGGGGAGAAGGGATGTGAGAGGAACTGACCATCGAATGTGTAAACATTTAGAAAGTTGTGAGCTGAGAGTGCAGTAATAAGAAAAGGTACATGAGCGATGAACACATTGCAGAGAGAAGGGAATAAAGAGGGTGAGAAAAGAGAGAAGGGGGCTGGTTGTTTTATTGTTTACAAATTCATTCATGGGGATTACTGCTGCCAGAAAGCTGGCGCGCAGCGGCCATGGTGTAACATTACACTGCGGTTTCTTTGATTATCTTTATCATCGGCTATTAGCACATTCCAATATGTATGCAAATAACGGTTAACCGGAGCGAGAAATGCTAAACGGTTTTGATGAATGCGGTCGGATGACCGTCGGTTAAACGGTTTGACTCAGGCCTACTTCTCTCTAACAATGATTTGTGTTCTAGACTGCTTCTCTTTAACAGATGAAGCTGTGGACCAACCCTCTTCATTCAAAACTTAAAGGTAATACAAAGTTTTGGGAAATTTTGAAAATTGGGTGGAAAGTGATTCTTTACAATTTTTATATAATTATTTGGATGCCCCTGTGGATGTTTTATAAGCAGTAGAAAATTTAGCCTCTAAAACATTTCTGCTTTCAAGAAAAATTGATACAAGGTTACCGGTGCTCCCAGTAAATTTTGTTAAATTACAAATAGCATCTACGGTCGTACAATGGTAGCTGCGACCATGAACATCTCAGAATATGTAATTGTGATATGGCACTGGTTTTTTTAACTATGACCAAATAGCTTAATGACCCTTTGACAGCCTGAAACTTTACAAAGATAAAGAATTGGAAATCAGTTACAACTTTTTCTTGTAGCATGGACCTAGGTTAACCTCCCATAGCTTAACGAAAAAATTTCAGCGTTGCTTTATGTGCATGAGGTATCCCTGAACAGCCAATTGTTTACGGAATTTTGTAACAAAATTGACATACCTATTTGGTTGGAGCCGAAAAAAATATATACCCACAAGCAATATGTTTTTTTTCTATTGATGATTAATGAGCATGGGTGGATCTTAAAGAAAGTTAACAGTAATCTGAATTAACTCCTGTATTTTGATAGAACAGTGCAATTGAAAATGGTGTTTCGGACGTTACATTTTCCGTAAACAATGTAGGCCCTCATTTAACCCACTAGAACAATCATTTAATGAGATTGTTTATGGTTTGAATAAGCTTATTAGTTACTCCAAGTCATTAAATTAAAAGAAAATATAATTTAATTGTAGTAGCGCTTATATTATAAATATATTCAAAATTTGAAAAAGTTGTCTCATTTTCCGTAAACAATTTTGTAACGTCCGAAACAACTTTCAATTTGAAGTAGCAGAAAATATATGAACTGCAGGACCTATCTTTCGTAACATCTTTTAAACATTTCATGGCGGCTACCCACCAAAAAAAAGAAATTTGCAATACATCATTACAATACTATTTTATAGTTAAAACCAATTTTCCGTTAACAGTTGTAACGTCCGAAACAAATGTAACGTCCGAAACAAAAAATACCAAATAAATGATGATAATCCATATTTGAGGGTATCTGGAGTGAATAAATCATTATGAAATAAGTTATTATAAGTCTTAACACAAGTCAAAACACAAATCAGGTCTTTCAAATCCAATAATTTTGTGTAAACTCAAGAAGGGTGTTTCGGACGTTACACTATTTGATTGTTAACACATAGTTTGCAAATTTCAACTAATTTTCGATCATATGTGCAAGTTACGATTTCACAATGCACACTCCTGTTAAAAACACTATTTTGATGATTTCATTTAGATCTAAACATAAAAATATGAAGAAATATGATGCAAAAAATCAAATTTTCCGTAAAATATCTAAATTTTCTGCAAAATTGACTTATAAAACATAAATATTGAAGCCACACTTTGTGGTGCAAGGCATTCCTGGCTGCTTTAGTATTTCCTAAATTGTAATTTATCAGAAAAAATCTCAATAAAAGTGACTCATAAAAATTATTCAGCCATTTTAACAGCACTTTCTGTTATGCTGTTAGCACGTTTCGGATGTTACATTAAACTGTTAACAGACATTTTCATATTTTAACTAGTTCAAATGAGGGGCAAAGATAGATGTGAGAATAGCATATTTCAATTTTTTAACCTCTCCTCTTGCTATTTACATTGCTGTGTGTTTGCAAATCATCACGTTTTCATTTTTACAGAGGTTGTTCCAAATTATGTCATATAACCAAAGATTGTATGGTCAATCTAAACTATTTGGTAGGTTACAAAAACTCAAAATCACCCACTTAAGCAATACCCAGTGTACATGTACATGACACGGGTGTGATACAGGTATATAAAGTTGATAAAATCAAGCAAATTAAAATGTTTTTCTAAAAATTTATGGGAAATATGGATTTTCATTTGAAAATACCTTTTAAAAAGGGCACTCAGTACACGTAACTAATCTGTGTAGAAATTACATACATGTATAAAAGAAAAGGGCATTACCAGTATACCTTATTTAATGATCCTATACACATGTAGTATCTTCCTCAAATGTATGCATACACAAAATGTATAAGCTAGTGTAGGGATTTATTTTGAACTTCTGAAACTCCCCTTCATATCCATGATTCATCCCTTTCTTAATAGGTCATCCCTCATTCACATTCACCCTTTTCATCCACCACCCTTTCATCTGTCTATCTCTCTCTCTCTCATTGGTTTCAATGTTCACCTGATGCAGTCAAGCTTATATAGTATAATTTACATATACTATGGATATTCAATATATACCCTTTGTTTATGTTTGAATATTCAAGAATACTTTGTGATGTTGATTTATACTTGTATGAGACTATATGAATATTTATTGATTTATTCTACTTTGCATGGAATGTATGTGGAATGCTACATAGAATGCTGTAATGCTTTTACACATTAAAGGGATCCGGTAACTTTGCCTCAGATTCTGAAATAAAATTCTGGATTTAGCTCATGATGCAATGATAATTATACACCTTTAGGTCAGTCAGGAACCCCATGACTTTTACAAGCCGATCGCCTGTCCGATTATCAAGATATTTATGATTGGAATTAGAAATTTTGAAAACCGTTCGCCTGACGGTTTTCATAACACTACAGTCTATTGGGGAAAACGAGTATGGTATAACCGGTCACTCAAAGATTTTTACTTTTTTGAGGCACTTCTTGATCATTTTGAAGCGCGATTTTTTTAGGGCTTCAACGTTACACCATATCACAGACACTGATAACATGTAGGACCGTGTATCTCAGATTTAACATTGTTAAACGATCCCTTTAAAACCTGGTCAGTTAGCTAGTAGTTATCAATCCTACAACATGTCTGCTAGGCTGCCTCTGTGTTAAGAGTGCTAGGAATTATCTGTTAGAACCGCAACCCTACACTAGTGTGAAATATAAATGGGCTGTCCGTTTTTTTTTTTTTTCCTCTACGAAATGTCAAAGTTGGGGGTGCGGCGCTGCGGCCTTATCGCCGGCAAATACGGTACATGTTTAACCTACACTGTATATTGTTTGTCACCTGTAATATAGGCACAGCAAGAGTTAAGATCTATCAACCAACCAAACGACCAACCAATCAATCCATCCATTCATCAATCGGTCATCAATTAAATAAATAAATAAATACTTATTTAAGAGCATTAAAACATATTGTCGTTTAAAACAGCCTCCTAATACTACATAGTGGTGAAGGATGATTGTTACTACGGTAGTATTATAACCTAAACATACACAATTTTAAAATACATCAAAAATGTCTCATTCTCGAGATGTACATACATTAGGATTCACTTATTTCTTATTACCGTACTTACATGACTGGGGGTACTTTTTTATAGTTTTAGTTTTTTAAAGATTTGTCAATGTTTTGCTTACATAAATGTATGTGTTAGTGATATTATTGAATGACACACTATATATATAGTTGAAGGCAAAGAACATTAGCAAGCTGATTAAACATCTATATTGTAAAGTTTGTAGAAATTGATGATCTCATTGAAATGTTAACATCGTGTAACATCCAAAACAAACCATAGTATACATTTCACACTGTTGTTCATAACATGCAATAAAGAGTATGTTTCTAAGTGAATTTTCTAAGGAGTTTTGATGACTACAATTGCTATTAGCTTCATATTTCACTCTATTAGATCACATAAGCATTTTTAACTACCGGTACACGTTCTTGAAATGAATAATATACCTTACATAAATTGAGTGGTCGATGAAGACAAACTTGGTATAAAAGTCATGTATGTGCTAAACTAATTATAACTGCACAATTTGTTTCCATAAATGTTACAGAAGTATTTTTCTGCAAACAATTAATGTAACTGAGGTCAATAATACCTAAAGAAAAGCAATTAAATTGAATAAAGTTATAATGTTAACAGTGTGTAACGTCCGAAACATCAGTGGTGTGCCATATGAAAATTATAAGCAATGCACTGGTTCCCAATTTGTTTGCATGTATTTACCTTATATCATCAGTTGTTATAATAAAATAAGTTTGACCTAAGAAAAAAGCATTTTACCTATTGAAATAAAAACTTGTTATTGTCTAAACCCTAATTTAGAGCTATTTTTCACTTTCAAGGGATACAAAATCTGTATTTTTCAAGATAGAAACTCAACAATTTGCATGAATAATCTCTGAAACATATTCTTAAAGACCCAACATATTTAAAGGTGTAGTTAATAACAAATGAGTTTTATATCACAGTTATTAGATATGCTATAGTTCACAATAAAATTGTAAAAACTCAAAGTATTCATATCTGGTGAATAAATAACGAGATAGATTAAGGTCCAGAATTTGCATTTCTCAAAAATATGATTAGTCCTGATCCTAAAAATACAAGTTTGAAGTTAGTAAACATAATTTCATTTTGGACCCATTTGTGGACACATTTGGTATAAGTTAAAAAAACCAGTGCCATATATAATTTCCGAACGGGAATAGCTAATCGGTCGATTTTAGCCAATAAACACTGTTTCATAGCTTAATTAATATCTTGACCTTAAGAGGGAGCTATACAATATAAAGAGTTTATTATTCACAATTACGTAACTTTAGGCTCGATTTCAACCGCGACAACGATCACTGAATATTGTAGGATCGCATATGCTTCCAATATGTTCATTTGAACCAAATTCATGACCCAATACCAAAACTTTGTATTACCTTTAATAACAATTTAATTCAGGTGAAAGCAGAAAAATCAGAGAAACCAATTACTGGAAAGTTTTATTAAAAGATTGGACAAATGGTTGGAAAGTTTTGAATGTTTGAATGTTGAGATCACTAAATATTGAGTGAATCCCAATTTGAAAAATGGGTCATCTGACTACGATGTCTGTGTAGGACAACCTTCCAATCGTTTTGTAGTGTAACTCATCAAAATTACCACTTGTCCCCAAACTAGCCGAGTATTTTTTTCGTTAACCGCAGCAAAAAAAAGAAAATTTGGTACCTCCTCTGTCATCCTGTTCTCCATCTTCTTCTGAAAGCTGTGAACCTGAATCCTGATTGCACTCCTGGAAAGTTGGATTTCCATCTGAGGACAAAAAGTAATTTAAAAAAAAAGTTTTGTAAGGGCAATTCAAAAATTTGTTGGGTATTTAAACATTAACCCATAACCTACAGGAACAGGCTGGCTCCCGTATTACGTCTATAAGAATGAGAGAATTCAGTACGCAATGGGTTAAATTATAAACAGTTTGCACTTGTCTACAAATCGTTTTACTTTTTATTCTTTCTTAGTAAGATATACTTTAAGTTGATTAATGGCATGATGGCGATAATTGCTTTCATAATTTGCAAGTTTGCATTTATTCTTAATTAAGCAATGGTTAGAATTACAACTAAGAAATAAACTACCGGTAGATAGATTTGTAGTTATCACGAATATCACAATTTTCAATATCCATTAGATGTAAAACTCTGTAAAGAGTAAAATTACTGTCACAGGAATTACAAAACTCAAAAGAACTCTCTATTGTCATCTACCGTATTTGCCGGCGTATAGGCCGCAGTATTTTTGGAAGAGAAAATATCAAAAAGTCGGGGTGCGGCCTATGCGGCGAAAGAGTAAAAAAAGTTTTTTTTAAATTTTTTTAATTTTTTTTAGTTTCGATTTATGGCGCTATGCCTGGCAATGTCTCCCAGCTCAGTAATCAGTGTGTTGACTCACCACTCGGAAACTACAACAACACTAAAATTTGACTGTCATCTTGGTTTGAAAGTAATCTTTCTAATAGATCTCAATATGTAGTTTATAATAATAGTTCCTCAAATTTGTTTCTATAACAAATGGTGTACCACAAGGTACACCACTGGTACCATAGGTACTTTATTGTTTTTAATTAATGATCATACACATTCTTCTAAAAACGACATTGTTACTATTATTTGTGACAAGTTTACAAGCAAAAATCAGCGCCTTTAACTGCACCTCGATGTTAAATAAAGGTCCTTCCACGCGTGGGTTTTCGGCAGCAAAACAACAACAACAAAACAAAAAAAACGATTATCGGGGGTGCGGCCTTATCGCCGGCAAATACGGTACACCTCAAAGAGTCTTAACTCGACTTTCTTGCAATTCTACAATTTTACAAAACTTTAAAATTGACCTCTACCTTTAAAAAAAAGTTGTGTATTACCCGACTCAGATGAGCTTTCTGTCTTTACTGGCACATGTATCTGCATTTGAGCTCCATCATCTTGCCAGGTATCCTCGTCATTGAGCTCTTGCTTGATGTAAACGATCTGGTACCCATCTCTCTCTGATGTTTGGGGCTCCTCGTCAGGCATTTCCTCCTTTATCTCTCTCATGGTGGATATTGCTGGACTCTCCATCATGAAGGATGCAGGGGGGTACCCTTCTCTCTCCGATGTTTGGGGCTCCTCGTCAAGCTCTTCCTCCTCTATCTCTCTCATGGTGGATATTGCTGGACTCTCCATCATGAAGGATGCAGGGGGGTACCCTTCTCTCTCCGATGTTTGGGGCTCCTCATCAAGCTCTCTCATGGTGGATATTGCTTGACTCTCTATCGTGAAGGGGGCCGGGGGGTAGCACAGTTCCTGTAATTGAAATAAGAAATACAATACGGTATGGTATAGACTAGACCAAAAGCTTCAGTCTCTGATATTGACGGTTGATCCGCTGAGATTACCAACCTAACAATCTCTTGAACAAGCTGAATAAGTGATACAAGACATCAGAGTTCTTGTTTGGCCTGGTTTTTGAGGGCTAATTTTTCGGTTTGGTCTAGAGCGTGGTGAACTTTTTTTTCTTCCCCGTCCAGTATCTTATTTTCCGTACTCTTGGGGCCACAAGCTTGTGAATACCAAACAATTTCTTCTTGGAGGAAATGCCAGTAAAGCTATGACTTACCGATTGGTCTTTTTGGGTCACAATCGATGAAGCAAATGTTTCACTATCCCCCTTGCTCAGATTTATTATTTTTTTGAGTTCTCTGTTCTCCTTTTTAAGCTCATCTATTAAAGACTGCCTTTCACTACAACGAGGACAGAAGGTAGCATGTTTGGAACAGTTATTAAGGTCCAAGCGTGAGTAGGGCTTGTAACGCTTTGGTTCTTCTGGCCGCAGATCTTCTATTGAGTGGCTAAAATCAGTTGGCGAGGGCCCTTCTTCACTGTTCTCATGAGGTGTACTTTCTGTGTCTTCAAGTTTTCCTCTGAATCGAGCTCTCTTTTTAGGAATGTACGCTGTGCTTTCTCTTGCAGGATTGCGAGGAGATTGTGAAGAAGACTGAAAAGGTGCGAGCTGATAACCAAGTTTCTCTGTGGGGTCTGGCCATTCCTTTGTTGGTTCGCCATTTTTAAAGTGCTCTGAACAAATCCTGTCGTGGGATTTAGGTTGCCATTTCGAACCACTTGCAGTTTTTCTTTTAACAAGTCTTATCCATCGGCTTCTCCCATCAGGATCTTTATCTTCTGAAGGAAAAGGAAGTAACTGGAAAGGTGGGTGGCACGTGCAACTTCTAAATTTCAATCCATGTTTTTCACAAAGTTGTGTATACCATTTGTCTATCTTGTGAACACTATTTGGGCAGCCAATCATGGCACACATCCGTCCCATGATGAACCATATAATTTGAACCTGTGAAGAGAAAAAAAACAAATAACTATTTTTAATACTTTCATTCTGCAATATTCTATAATATGCTGGCACTGGCATTAGGCCTTAAAAAAAAATGTTATATTGCCCTTTAGGTGCCAAAACATGGGTCGGTCGGTCGGAAATCTTTTTTTTTTTTTTCCTTCTTATTTTTCTCCCTCTTTGCGCTGATATTTCTCGGTTTTGAGTGCTTCAATTAATAAATATTTTTGTACTGGTTAAACTTTTTCTTTTTAAACATTAAAAAAAAAATAGATTTTAAGATTTATGGGTCGGTAGCAAAGGGCAATACAACTTTAAAGCAAGTAAAAATCAAAGAGAGTGGGCAGATTTCTCTCATTGATCATTCTACCTAAAGCACTTGATAATAAATTGATTCATGCAAATTCAGTAATAAATGTTTTTAATAATAGAAATGTAAACTTCCCTGCATTGTACTGACTGACATTGAGAGGTTAGTCCTAATCAATATGAGTAGGCCTGTACCTATTTATCTTTTCATACACTTCTTGTTTATATCCTGGAAAATATCCAAAGAAAATAACTATGTTGATGGTAATTAACACTATAAATTATTTTTTGAACTTTCAAGAACCTTACCGAAGAAAAAAAGAAGAAGATCAATGCTACGTTTTTACTATTTGACCGCTAGAGCCCGAGTGACAGATCTACATGTATAAACAACCAATATTCTTCACAATTCTAGATAAAAATGCACATGTGGGGTAGACCGAAAGCTTCAGTCTCTAATATCGACGTTTGTTCCGCTGAGATTACATTTGGCTCCCTTGACCTCCTCTATACAAAGAAGACGAAAGATTTCATGCATGGCTGATCGCCAACGAAACAGACTTTGTTGCCAAGGCAGGCAGCCTGTGAAAACTAATTCCTTTAATAAAATTATGGAAATGCAAGCACTCAACCAAAATGGGCTAAAATATGAAAAAAAGACATGTAGAATAATTTTTGACGGAGATTCTGAGCATGACAATGATTTTTTTAGAAATCATCAATAATTTTGGAATCTAGCTTTAAAATTGATGACTCAGAACGCTCAGAAAAAAAAAAGCCCAATTTTGGAGCTGTACTGTGCAACTGTTTATGACCTCACTGCAGGAGCCTCTCCCGTGGAAATGAGGATGATTTAGGCATTAAAATGTCTTTAAAAAGGCAAACTATGATATTAATTGGAGAAAAACAAGACATTTACCTGAAAATAATATACACTAGATAATCCCAGTACCGGTACGTTTCATTTTTGAATTACAATGAGATTGTAAGATCCTTAGTTGTAGGAAAAAATCGTACATGCCCGCAATGACGTCAAATGCGTCATTAAGGCCACGTGACCGTATTACCTTTTTTCGAGGGGGCGTAGCCCAGCAAGCATACGATCTGTGAAATATGGATGGTTATTATCATTTTTTGGTCAATTTAGAGATTTTTTGAAAAATCAGAGGCTGGAATATTGATAAGTACAGGTGTATTCATGTTTTGTTATTTGGGTAAGAGTGGCCCTTTAAACAAACAGAACTTTTTTATTCTTGACTCTGGCTCATATTTCCTGATTGAGGCGTACATATTAAATGGGCAGAAAATGAACTTTCTAGAAATGTGATTTCTCTTTGAAATTCAGATACAATTCTCAAAAAGACTGTTTGGTACCCTTTCTTCAAATTGTTTTAATAATCACTCATGCTTGAAATATGTATCATATCAGTTAAATGAATCAAATGAAAGAGGAGGATCTAAGCTTTACAAACAGCGCTCAAAATACACGGGGGCGGTGGGCGATTCGCCCCCGTGAGCAACAAAATCGCCCCCATCAGGTTGCTCACGGGGGCGATTGCAAAATTAAAAATCGCCCCGGTGGAATTATAAAATAAAGATAATCTTTTCTGTTATAACTTTAACACAATATTGAGTTTCAATTTTCAAACCTTAAACCAATGAAATGGAACTAAGATTAGCGTGCAAGATTTCTCGTTTTATGAGTAGGCCTATTATTACCGATTCAGCTCGCAGTGCAGTACCGCCGTCAGCAGTGGTTATAGGCCTACTGCGCCGTTAGTAGCGGTGCGTGTGCACGCTGCCGCGCCATGTCTGCTGGAGCTGGAGGCGATCGGGCAAGGGCAGAAACATGGTCATGGCCTCGAGAAGTTTTTCGTTGTCAGCAAATAATGAACCTCTACCAGTAAATCAATATTAGGGACTTTTAGATTTGCACGATGAGAACGTGGACTGCAACGTTCTTTTAAGGCACTGCCAGTGTTTAAAAGGACGTCACATGTGATTGCCAGTGCCTTAAAAGGACGTAACACGTCCACGTCCATGCAAATCTAAAAGGCCCTTTTGAGGAGAAGAGGAAGACCAAAATGTCGTGGAATGATATGGTAACATGGGCAGATCTACGGCGGGGGGGGGGGGGGGGGGGGGGGGGGGGGGGTAGGGGTTTAACCCCCTCCTCCCACCCCCCCCCCCCGGCCCCCTTGGGCTGCCAAGTGAAAATGTGATATTAAAGCGGGGGGGGGGGGGGGGGGGAGGGGGATTCCGGAGAGGAGGACTACTAATCTATTTTATTTTTTTCAGGGTGCGGGGGGAAGCGCCGTTTTAGCATGACTTTTTTTTTAACTCTTACTTTCACCTATCTCAGATAACCCTAAGTTTTTGGATGCTGCTTTATATGTAGTTGATAATGCATGATTAAAATAAAGAGAGAAAGAGAGAGAGAACCGCCATCATTTTGCAATGGTTCAGGGTTCGTGTAATGTACATTTGAAACCATTTCTTAGCGTCTCAACCCTAAAAAAATAGCAAAACTATTTTTGAGGAAAAGCATTATACTGAATTAAATAAAGAATAATAGCTTTATATTGGATCATACTAATACTGATACGGGCTAAAGACAATGTGGTATTTGTATAGAGGTATTCCAAAATGACATTCTGATGATCAACATTTGTTCTGGTATCATGTGTATATACGCATAATACAACTGATCTTTATGATTTCTTAACGTGATATAGCTTCTTCTCCCTCTGCAAACAAAACAGAAAACAAGGTTATTTAATAAAAGGACCATGCGACAAATAATCATTGTGATTCAAATTGATGCAAGGATTTTTTTGAATAAGCAATGCTTTTCACCAGAATCTTCTTTGTAAAAACGACTTTTACAAATCTCAGCCATGCAATTCTGCCACTGTGCTGTAAGATCACTTTGAGATTAGGAGAAGTGTATTATGTAATGGGTATTTTAAATTGAATGGAACATCTCAACTCAGTAAGCATGGCTGAGATTTGTAAAAGTTGTTTTTACAAAGAAGATTCGGGTGAATAGCAGTGCTTATTCAAACAAATATTCGCATCGATTTGAATCCCAATCATTATTTGTCGCTTAATCCATTTTAATGAACATGTTTTCTTTTTCGTTTGCAAAGGGAGAAGAAGATATGTCACGTTAAAGACATCATAAAGATCAGTGTTGTATGCGTATATATTATATACACAGGCCAGTAACAGCTATGTAGCTTGTAAATTTGTAAGAGGGAAAATGCTGATTGAAATGATAATGATGATAGCAAATAATTGAGGAGTATCATAGGTACCAATTCAATGGATATTTGTATAAAAAAAGGCCCCCGTCAGTAATAAAAGAGCCCCCGTGAGAAGGCTCACGGGGGATCTTTTTTCGGGGGAAGAGCCCCCGTGGACACAAAATTAATTTGAGCCCTGTTTACAAATATGTGTTATTCATTAATTATAATTGTGAATAAGTCATGATAAAACATCTATAATTCTTGGTTTCGTTTTTCTGGGACGCACCGAGTAATAATCATATAGCTCACATATTAATGCGCCTATAATAATTTGTTTCTAGGCGCAGTACACATTATTACCCCGGTCATTGGATTCAGGCTTACCTGCACACAATGTATGCACATTCTCCACTCCCTGGGGAGCATTCCGGCCAGTGGCCATTTTACCATCCAACCACATTAACTTTTGCATCCTTCCGGGTACCTATTTAACACCTGGGTGGAGAGTGGCAAACGTAGATTAATCATTAATGTCTTGCCAAAGGACATTAGTGCCGTGGCGGTAGCTCGAACTCCTCCTTACCTTGCGATCTGCAGTCGATTGACTAATATCCATTACTAGACCACAACACTACTCATGCTATTGCTATTAAATAATACAAGTTACAACCATCTTGTCTAGTCTCTGAGTCTGAGCTGAATTAACTCACTTGTCAATGAGCGAGTTTTTGTTTCAAACATGTTTTAATTATAACTTTCATTATTACTCTGAGCTCTGTAGAGTCTACAGAATATTAGACTAACCAAACTTAGTTTAAAGATAAAGACCAGTTATGTTCTTGCGATTGCATTGTGAAAGAAACGTTGTGAAATCGATCAGAAAAGGTTGATCATCTAGCATTTATTGTATTGGTGTGTATACTGCAAGGTTCTGGAATCATCAAAATGATAAGAAATTTGGCCCAGTCTTCGTAAAGTTACAAGCACTGTACATAGAAAGATGTATATGGGACTACGCACACGTGCGCGACACGTGCGTTTATCTCTCACACACCAATACGGCAATAGATAAACTAATTTACCAAATATATATCAATTAGTAGGCGGTTTCCAAGCAAATTGTTTATCATCATGTATTAGTCAAAACATACTTTTTCACATGATTGGTAATAAGAGCTTCCATTTCATTTTTTGAAATTGGGGCGTTTCCAATCTAGAGCCAGGTCTAGCTAAATCTAGAGATCTAGACCTATTCTCATGATTCTAGTGTCTAGAGGTGTCTAGACCTAAAATTACTGGTCTTTACCTTTTAGACTCTAAACTAAAGGGCTGAGTTTTAACTGTTATTATAATGAATTATCAGATTATGAAGGTTATAACTTTAAGTTAATTACCCAGTTAACTCAGGGAGGTGAGCTGAGCAGATGCAGATTGCAGTCTAGTCGAGTCCAATGATAATCGAAATGGCGAAGAGTCTACGTAGAGGTGGTCAGAGGGGCCGGGGCCAGATGCAGATGCTCAGATCAGCGGAACAACCGTCGACAAACAGAGACTGCAGCTATATGTTGGTCGATCCGTGCTGCAGGAGAGGGCCAGTGATCGGATGCATGGCACGCCAGGGCTGCCCGGCTCGGATCAGAGCGACTAGCTAGATAGCTGGTACAATTTCTACTGCTCGCGCTCGATGATACGCTCCATGCATAGCCGAAGCCACATGCCCATGCGTACCGGTATACTGCTTCGTCTTTGCTGCAGCATGTAATTGCCGAAAATATAAAATATTGTTGAGAGTCTACGCACTTTGAATTTAATTTGGATTACACGTAAGTATTTTGAATGTTTGATATGGGACTACTTGATTTTTAAAGTTTGATTGCTGATGTAGAGAATGTTATTTGAAGGTTGATTTTGACACGAGTAGATATCGCAGTCCCACGTGTAGACATTTGTGTTAGTCACAAAGAAATTGTCCCACTGGTAATTGGGTGGGGGTGATTGCCTAGGGGCAGGGGATAATTGTCTTAAAACCTAATTTGTTATTAATGGATTCGTAGTGAATTGTACAAAATATGTGCGCTAGTTCAGAATCGTATCCAGAGTTTGACCCGTAACTCCGGCGTGCACGTGTGCGTGGAGATACCCTAGCTATAGACCGAAAGCTTCAGTCTCTATAGATGATAATAGATCTACTGTCGGTTGTTCCACTGAGACTACGTCTGGCTCCACTAGACCTCCGGTTATAGAGACTGAACGATCGCCTATGCCAGCCTATGTTGAAGATATCACGGCTAGATTTTAGCCGTTAGGCCCCTCCCACAAACATGAACAAACTTGCCACGGCTGTATTGTTATGCCCCCCAAATCCCCCAAAATGTCATTTTAACTCGTGCATATCCAATTTTACATTAGGCCTAGGCTATAATACTATGGTGTCTGAACGATTTTTCAATTTTCAATTTGGGATCGTTTTTCACCATTTTTGTTTGATATTTGAATAAAAATTGTTATCAGAATAATACATTTCAAATTTCAAGTCTCACCGATGTTTCTATCAAAAGTTACAGCCCCTCCAAGACGCTGGTATATTCATATCATTTTGGTCAAAATCGACGAAAAAGACGTCCACGCAGAGTGATGTTGTTTTGCTAAATTTAGCCAAACAGCTGTATCGCGCGATATGCAAGCGTATGCATATCGTACGCATGCTGCTAAGCCAATCCGCGACTTGCAGCTTGAGCTACGCTGTCTCCGCGACATGTGCCATTGACTAGTATGGTTGGCGTTCGTCGCACAATAAACCCGGAAGTGAATGCACGTTATAGTCAATGGCAATATCGCGGAGATGTCTCCGCGATATTGCCATTGACTATAACGTGTATTCACTTCCGGGTTTTATGCCACGAATGGCCACCCATACTTGAATTTGGGGTTTCGTTCGTACGCGGAGATGTTACGCGATGTAACCATGGTTTGGACTGAGCGGAGCGCACGCCCCCTAATTAGCTGATCCACCAAATAGCGAGAAGGGTATTTTTAAACTGTTATCAGTTGTGATCCCTGGGGGCTAGCGAAAAAATAAGCACATAGAATTGTTCCTTAGGACTGGGACTACTTATCGATCGGGGCGTCATATCTCAAAAGTGACAAACCTCAGAGTTAGCCAGGACACAATGTTTCAATTGCTGTTTTGACCAAGATATTTTTAGCATTTCGGGGGCTACGCCCTTGGGAAATATTGGAATTCACCTGCTCTTTCATATGACACCTCATTTATTGATTATCACCTTCAGGATCACAACAGATAAAGGTTTGAATCTCGAATTGAAAAAAAAAAAATTGACCTTTTTTTGCATGGTCGCGCAATGCACGTAGACTGCATAGGGATGCGTGTAATCTCTATGGGAAGAATTTTAGCACACAACATCGGGTGCGCGATCAGACACCCTAATAATACATCGGTTCCACTTACTAACTTGATTGAAATAATCCGTTTAATGGTCCCTTTTAAGGAAATTATGGGTCAAAATCGACATCCATGTTGAAAATCTTGCAAGCCGTGTTAAACTCTCGCTGCCGTCAATCTCATCCCTTCTAGTCTACGCATGCCGAAGGCAAAAATGATTACGAAGGAAAAACTGTGATAACGCCATTACGAACGTGTAGATGGCGCACAGTTTTTCCTTCATAATCATTTTGCCTTCGGCGTAGACTAGAAGGGATGAGATTGACGGCAGCGAGAGTTTAACACGGCTTGCAAGATTTTCAACATGGATGTCGATTTTGACCCATAATTTCCTTAAAAGGGACCATTAAACGGATTATTTCAATCAAGTTAGTAAGTGGAACCGATGTATTATAGCCTAGGCCTAATGTAAAATTGGATATGCACGAGGTAAAATGACATTTTGGGGGATTTTGGGGGCATAACAATACGGCCGTGGCAAGTTTGTTCATGTTTGTGGGAGGGGCCTAACGGCTAAAATCTAGCCGTGATATCTTCAACATAGGCTGGCATAGGCGATCGTTCAGTCTCTATAACCGGAGGTCTAGTGGAGCCAGACGTAGTCTCAGTGGAACAACCGACGGTATAGAGACTGAAGCTTTCGGTCTACCCTAGCTAAAACTGAAAAGATATAGACTCTACCAATGATTGACTAAATCTTCATCAATTGTTCAAATAATGGTCATGGTTTAATAGTCGTTTTTTACCTCTTTCGTGTCAATTTTCTTATCTTTTTTGGTGTATTTTCCTAAAAACAAAGACTTCTATACACTTTCTCATGGGATCGATTCACGGCAAACTGCTGCACAATACAATTGCGATGGGGTGCGGGCGCGCGCGTATGTTAAGTAAGCGACCATAAACTAAGATTACAGTTAAGCTGATCATAGAAGTTTGATGACCTTGTTGCTTGTCATGTCTTGTGAAACGGTTTGTCAGCTTCTTAGATCATGGACAATGGCATGCTGCGATCGTCATGGTTTCCTGATTCATTATGAATAATTAAAGCATCAACATTATATGACTGTAGTGCAGTCTATCATACTTGTTTTTATCCATCGTCACAGGTTCACAGCGCTCAAGTCTAGCTAGACAGACAGTCATGAGTGAGTTTCAGGTCCACCATGTCAAGTTCTGCAACTATGTCCCGAGTGGAATCCAGAGCCTGGCATACAACCAAACAGACAAAGTCCTAGCAGTTGGCAGGGAGGACAACTCTGTCGAGATATGGAAGACAGGAGAGGGCAGGAAATGGTTGCAGCAAAAGGTTTGTGTAAAGCCAAGGTGGTAGCACTCCAGCAAAGCATAGAGAGTCAATGCTAAAGCGTATTGACCTCTAGCACTGCATACATACTGTGAGGCAGGGACCTAGAAGTCTATACACAAATATACACACCACACAATATCGCCTAGACTGTACACAATCATGTCGATGCAGCTGTAAGCAAAGTTTGACACTAGACTTACAATTTGAATTTTTAAATTATTCTTTTTAACATCAGTAAGTTGAAAAAAATGTATTTTACTGCTATTTAGGTGTCATTGATTGTCACTAAAGTACCGATTTTGAGTGAAATCAGTTGAGTTTTGTACAGTGGTGTTTGAAATGTTGAGAATCAAAAGCACAGCTTTTACTACACAGCCAGGATAGTGATGCTCCTATGTGTGGGTGGTAGCAGGATATTATAATAATTATGAGAGCTCTTACATAAGTCTAGAAATGTATACCTTTCTAGTTTGATTTCTTTTCAATCATTTAATTAAAGCAAAAATATCTTGAGAACAAATCTTACATCTTACAAAAGTGGAATAGGTAGAATAGGGGCACAGCCCTCATGTTCAAGTGAATGCCTCTTCAGGGCACAGAGCAGCAAGACATGTGTATATGATGAAGCTCAATTGTAGGCCACATTACGCACTATAAATTTGCACAATAAATTCCACCTTCATGGTGGTACGTTCTTTTTTCACCTCGGTGTGTTTCTAATATTAAGCTTAGAAGAATACTTTCAAGTGCCTTTTAGGTTGACAATTTAAAGGGGGCACATTTTATAATTGTTTTTGCTTGCAGATTTTTAAATAGCAGAATATTACCGGGCTCTGTCCCCCTCCCCCCCCCCCCCCCCCCCCCCCCCCCAAAAAAAAAAATCTGGCAGTAACTAAAACTACCTTTACACTGTAATTTGTTTTCTTTTCAGGTAATCCCAGGGTCCGAGAAGAGGAAGGTGAACAGTCTAGTCTGGGTCAAAGGTCGACTCTTTTCTGCAGGTCTACAGGGAGACATCACAGAATATGATCTGCAGCATTTAAAGCCAAAGGTATCATAAAAATGATGCATTTTGTTCCGTACAATATTTCCCAGTGAGAAAATAATTAGATGAACAGTTAGCAATATATTTCTAGCAGAGATTCCATTCTTTAGATTTTTCCTGAAATCAGGATTTTACAAATAAATTGAGAAAGTTCATGGAAAAAAATGAACATCAGAAAATGCACAAATGAAATATCTTGAAAATCTTACTAAAAATATAATTGAAAGTGTAGGGTTTTGAATACTGTTACTATTCACACTATGCTCACTCCACTCAGATTTCTCAATATTTGAATGTCAGCTCAGGGTATTTTTTTAATTCCTTGTAGGGACTCTGCTCTAGAAGACTCAAAATATTTACTCTTGAATAATATGATTTGCATCAATGTACTGTACAATGATTTTCAAGTTAAAACAAACAGAATTAAGCTCTGAGAAATTTGGCTTTAAAACTTCTTAAGAATTTAACACCAGCTCTCATTAAAAAAAATAAGAGTAAGAATAATTTTCAAAAGGGGAAAAATTATTTAACTTGTCAGAAGGAAAGGTAAATATTACATCAAATTCAAAGCCAAAGGTATTGAAAGGTATCACTTGCTCATTGTTTTTAAACTATATTCCTGGATCATTCTGTGTCGAATCACAAATGTTTAAATACCCTCAGTTTGTTAAAAGTTTATTTTTACTTCTTATTAATTAAGTCTAGAACACTAATACTGTTTTCACGCTGGTACTTATTTTGCTTCACCCCGTACTATAGGTGGGGTTAAAGGGTATCTTAACCCCACCTATAGTCCGGGGTTAAGCTTATTCCACTTTCTTTTCACACTGGCAAAATGTGGCTTAACCCCATACTATAGGTGGGGTTAAAGGGGGGTTTTAGCCCCACCTATAGTACGGGGTTAAGCTTATTCCACTTTCTTTCCACACTGGCAAAAATTTGCTTAACCCCGTACTATAGGTGGGGTTAAATGGGGGGGGGGGGGGGTCTTAGCCCTACCTATAGTCCGGGGTTAAGCCTATTCCACTTTCTGTTCAGACTCGTATTTACCAAAGTGGGCTAACCCCACCTATAGTACGGGGTTAACTAACCCTGCAAAATAGCAGGGCTAACCTCGCAATTGTGGTGCTAACTCCTGCTAACTCCGCAATTGTGGTGCCAAGCAAATGAATGAGAACAGAAACGAAAAATAGTCCGGGACTACGTAGTGAAGCAAATTAATGAATTCCATGGTCATGGCTAGTACGGGGCTAAGGGATTGCAGTGAGAAAAGCCAAAAAAGTTAGTCCGGGGTTATGGATAGTACGGGGCTAAGCAAAACAAGTGTGAAAAGAGTATTATGAGCATTCGCAATTTATTCAGACCAATACAAATACCCATTATGGATGACATCAACCATTGTTCCATCGTCCATGTTCTACTCTTCATAGCCTCATGTATTGTAAGCTTAACCTAAACAAAAAGCATACAACAAATCAAAGATAAAGGTGAGTTCTGGTCTTCCGAGTGCATTGTGGAATGGATCTGAAAAAGTTGATCATGTAGCATATAAGTATTTGTGTGTCCTGCAAAGTTCTGGAGCCATCAAAATCATAATAAATCGTAACAAACACTGTACACAGAAAGATGTATATGGAACTACACAAATGGTGTCAGGGCTACCAACCTTGATTTCCTAATCTTTCTATGCTCTTTACTCAGCCAATGTACAGTTGCTACCAAAAAAATTTGGGGCAAACGACATTTATTTGTAATCTTGAACATTCAGTGTAACTTTCTTTTGATTCTGTGAGAATTCTTTTTCTTTTTTTTACCAGAACTCACCTTTATCTTTAAGATCTTTTTCCTATTCTTTCTCGTTTCAGAAATCAATCTACTATGGTAATGCCTTTTGGTGCATTGCAGTGAACAATGCACAAACTCATATAGCAGTAAGTATCATCTCCAATTCGTATGCAATACTTTCAATAGATCATACACATATACACGGTCTACATAGAACATATTTAAAATACAAATCCACTCCACTGAAAAGTTGAGCTGATTAGATAGACAAAAATCTAAAAAGCCCAAATATAACTTGGTTTTTGAAAATGGTGCTGAGACTTATTCTTAATAATTTTGTTTAATGGGCAAAAAACTAGTAAATGATCGAGCCAGTTCTCCCCTACAACATATTTTTGTGACGTATGGTCCTCACAACAATTCAATTTGTCAGATTGGTCTATTTGATGAATAGTAAACTATCAGAATTGTAAATGGAATTCCTTTACTCCTGGGTCCTGTAGACTGCTGATTGGATTTTACAAGACAATTACCATTCCAAGTAATTGAATATTAACTCATAGCCTGCCATAAGGCTGCATGCACGCTACCATTATAGTGCTTTGTTCATGCAAGCGAGCCAATGGGCCGTATGCATAAAAAGTAGCAATTGCTTGCAAGCAATTGCTTCAAGCACAAGCAATTGCTTGTCAAGCAAAAGATCAAGCTCAAGCAATTGCTTAAATCCGTATGCATAACATTTTGCTTGTGCTCGTACCTTTTGCTTGCCTCCAGCAAGCAATTGCTTACGATCTCAACAATAGCGACGTCACGCCGGTGCGAACATCATTCATGGGAGAACAAAGGCGGGTTTCGCATACTAGTAGTGTATTCAAATGTCATGCGTGTGGGGTAGCCTTTCCTGACATGGCAGTATAACATTCCAGGATGACATATTTCAGAACAAAATGAAAAAAAAACACCGATACATGCACACACAAGCGCACACCCAAATACAGATACACACATGGCATGCATATACTAACAAGAAAAATACGTATAATACACGTGACTGTACTGAAGGGATTTTACAAGTAAGGCATTTTTTCATCATGTTCAGGTATGAACCTGTGTGCTAACCACTCAACGTTCTCTTTGTCGAAACGGAATAGTTTCCGATAGGTCTCGGGAGCAATTTCTTCTCGATTTATTCTACTCCTGTACAACTTTGGTTTTTCTCTAACGAGCATAAACATGATGCTTAACCGCGAACGTCCCGATTAAGCAAGAGCTCAAGCTGCTATGACGGAGCTTGAAAAAACGTAAGCAATTGCTTATAAGAACAAGCAAAAGGTTCGTTTTATGCATACGTTTTTAAGCAATTGCTTGATCTTTAAGCAATTGCTTGTGCTTGCTAGCAAAAGCATTTGCTTGCAAGCAATTGCATATGTTTATGCATACGGATTCAAGTAAAAGGCTAGCACAAGCAATTGCTACTTTTTATGCATACGGCCCCATTGCTTTGGTGCTTCATGCATGCTCGCACGCATTCGTAATGGCAGTTATTGTTCATGCTCATCATAGTGTGCTGGCACAGGGGGATTTGGGGCTTGGCACAACGGGGATTAGCCCTGTGGCATGAGAAGAGTTAAAATAAATCAAACAACAGATAGATGGAATACACAATATACAAAAAGCACACGCAGGTATTTAACAATGACATAGAGGGCCTGGTTATCATAGCCCTTTTTTCAAAAGCTCTATTTTTTATCTATCTTTCTTATTATTGTTTATTTCTATTTTGCTTCCTTCCCATAACTCAGGCAGGTTGCGAGGATGGGTACATCCGTCTCTACGAGATGACAGACGAGGGCCTCATCTATGATAGGTCGCTCCAGATGCAACAGGGTCGGGTCGTGTCACTAGCATGGCATGTGTCAGATGAGGTCATTGTGACGGGGTCACTGGATAATATCAGGATTTGGAATGTGAACACAGGTATGTGATGCATTAAGTCTTCAATATTACTGTTTACATTCTTTTTTTACAACTCTTGATTATATCAATTGTATCAATTGACTTAAAGTAAGTTATTCAGGAATAGAGTGGTGAAGTGTGACGTCATCAAAAATCTATTTTTAAAATTTCTCAATTTTTTTTCTTCATTTTCTGAAAGAGCATCAAAAATAATGTCCAATTGTTGAAAACCAATTAAATATGTTAAGTATTGGCTGAGATATGACCGTCTGAATAAATATATTTCCTATAGGAACTCAGTGTTATTTGCTCTAGTTTATGATGATTAGGAGCCAGAGCAAATAACACTGAGTTCCTATAGGAAATATATTTATTCAGATGGTCATATCTCAGCCAATAACTAACATATTCATTTTGGTTTTCTACATTTGGACATTATTTTTGATGCTCTTTCGGAAAATGAAGGAAAAATTGAGAAATTCCAAAAATAGATTTTTATGACGTCACAGCTTCGGTACTCTATAGTTCATTTTTACAGGATACGATGCTGAATTTTGAATATCGTTGGACGATTTCTATTTTTTAGATTTACATGTAAAAGCCATCTCCATCACATAATACAATTGTGGTTTGTTGGATGTTGCATAGAACTAATTCCCCCCTCTCTCCCCCTTGTTCTGTGTCACACTCTGTTTCAAATATTATATCACAGCCTCACTGGATGGGCAGGTTTGTGGCTAGTTAAAAGCCGGGGGGGGGGGGGGGGGGGCACCTAGTAGGTCCTTTGTATATCAATATTTACATGTTGAATAAATGGTTTTGTTATACCTGGGCAGAAAAACCATCAATCACATTTTATTTCATCATAAGGTAATACAAAGTTTTGGGAAATTTTGAAAAATTGGTGGATAGTGATTCTTTACAATTTTGATATATTTGGATGCCCCTTTGGATGTTTTAAAAGCACTAGAAATTTTAGCCCCTAAAACACTTCTGCTTTCGAGAAAAATTTAATACAAAGATTTACCGGTGCTCCCTGTAAATTTTGATATATTTCAAATAGCTCCTACGGCTGTACTATGGTAGCTGCGACCATGAAAATCTCAGAATATGTAGTTGTGGTATATAATTTCCGAACGGGAATAGCTAATTGGCCGATTTTAGTCAAGAAACATTGTTTTACAGCTTAATTAATATCTTGACCTTGAGAGGGAGCTATACAACATAAAGTGTTGATTATTTACAATTTCATAACTTTAGAGTCGATTTCGACCGCGACAACGATCAGTGAATATTGTAGGATCGCATATGCTTCCAATATGTTCATTTGAACCAAATTCACGACCCCATACTAAAACTTTTTATTACCTTTAAGTTCCTCAAAGGCCACACAAAAATATGCCATAATGATGTTCTACCTAATGGCTAAATGGCAAAACTAAGTGAAGGCTTCTTAAACCATGCTATTTTGCCTAATTTGTTTTGACCTTTATATCTGTCTCAGTGCCACCAGAACAGCCTGGCCCTAAACCTGATGCTATTCAAGGTGCCCTTATCGTATGCTCTGGCAACAATCGCTCTGGGCTGTATTTCATCTAAGATGTAGGGTTAGGCTTGGGCTTGCAAGTGGGTTTTAGATTACGCTTAGGGTAAGGGTTGGGGTTAGATGAAGCCTTTGTTCCATGGTTGAAGTAATTGCTTTGTACACCTGCCAACCCTTACAATTCATCCGGAATATTCTGTTTTTCTGGATTTCTAGGACCTGAAAATCCAGAATATTCTGTTTTTTCAAAATTCCAATTTTTTTTCTTCTTCTTTTTAAATTTTTTTTTTTGGTGCTTAAGCCAAATAAAATTTGTTTTATCATGTGCCACGATGTGTGCGTTTAATGGTTGCATAATCGAGCAGCGAATTTGTATTCACCCTTTGGTACAGATTTACCGCCAGTATTGCCAGTTACACCGCCGCTGCAAGTGCGATTTGTCATTTTCAAAGACATACCGTGCTAGAAATACCTATTTCTTATTTTCAAATGTTGGCAGGTATGGCTTTGGGTAGTGTAGGATATTGTCCAGAGAGGAAATGTCACTGGAGCATCTGTCGTTCATCTGTCATTTATCTGCCATTCAAGTCTTGTGTCATACTAGGTATCTCTAACAAGTCAATGTTGTATCTGACTTTAAAGGGATCCGGTAACTTTGTCTCAGATTCTGAAACAAAATCTTTAGCTCATGCTGCAATGATAATTATAAACCTTTAGGTCAGTCAGGAACCCCATAACTTTTACGTTACTTTGCGTTTTCTTAACGGTTTTCATAACACTACAGTCTATTGGGGAAAACGAGTATGGTAAAACCGGTCACTCAAAGATTTTTACTTTTTTGAGGCACTTCTTGATCATTTTGAAGCGCAATTTTTTTTAGGGCTTCAATGACAATATTACACCATATCACAGACACTGATAACACGTAGGGCCGTGCATCTCAGATTTAACATTGTTTAACCTTTAACCTTTCACTACCCACCCAGGACACGCAACGCTGAGGATCACCACTCAGAGGGTCCAGAAGCACACCGAGGTTGTAGTTTGGCAGGTGGCTGTCCTGGATGATATGACCATAGTCAGTGGAGACTCGGTCGGGAGGACCCAGTTCTGGAACGGAAAACATGGAACACTGCTCAAGGTATCAGGCTAGATTAAAGACACTCAGTAGTCAGCTCTCATGGGGAATTTGACACCATTCGGGTGTTTACCCAATAACAGGTGTTGTCAATTACCAGGGTTAGCCTTCAGTTTTATGACCATTAGACTTTGTGTAATGCTTTGCTTTTTCGTCACCCGAAGACTCTCGAATATTCTCCGAGAAATTAGGGGGGGAATTCTTGACTGGCCAACGGGTTTGCTGTGTGCAGATTTGTACTCCCATTAATGGAATTTCCACCAAGTCTGGAGTCAGCGAATTATGGCCTTCTGCACATGGAAACTGATGAGTGACTCCCTTTAACCCCTATTTCATAGAAAAAGAAGCTAAAATCTGAACTGAACTTATGAGTTGGGACACCTCAGTTTATGCGAATTAGTGAACCTACAGCAGATCTGATTCAAGGAACCAAAAAGGGGTTAAAGAGCAATGGTGAATAGATATTGAAAAGGCCCCAATTAATAGAGAGTTTTGATTGATCCAAATTGATCACTAGTCCTCTAACCGATCACAAACCTTCAATCTTTTATCTCTAATTTTATAGCTGATGTATAATTATGCTTGTGGATTACACTAACTGCATGTAAAGAGGAAAAAGATTGCCCTGTAAATTCCACATATTAGCTATAAACAGAACTATTTAAAAGTGCACACTTGTATAATTTGTACTCTTTTTCACTCTCCTCCTTGACAGAGTTACACCAGTCACCGAGCATCGGTCCTAGACCTCTGTGTGTCCCAGGACCAGACCAGTGTCTTCTCGGCCGGTGTGGATCCCATCATCTCCGAGTTCCAAATGGTCCAGAAGGCGTCGGGATCTGAGACCAAGCACTGGGTCCGGGGAAGGTCCATACGGGATCACAGCCACGATGTCATGGCCGTGGTCATAGCTGGAGATAAACTCGTGTCGGGAGGTATGTGGATAATTTTATTAATGATAATTTACATTTATATGACAACTAAATGACATGTGCCAAACAAATTTGGTAGACAATGTATAGACGATGAGAAATGAGTATAGAAAGATAAGGAAATCAAGGTAAGTAGGCCCGACATCAAGTGCTTAACATGGGTCACTATGTGCAAATGAGAGTTGTGGTTTTTATTGAAGATGATTTCCAGCAAGTTTTTGTGAGTTTGTTTTTATTTTACTGGTTCAAACAATCAATCTACTGCAGGATAAACAATCCAGAATGAATTATGTTCCTTCGACATACGATTCCCATACCAGAGCTCAAGATAAGATGAATGCTAACATCACATTGCCATTTACTCATCTGAGGAAGATGTGAGAACCATAGGCATTTCAAAATATCACAGAATATCACAGAAATATCTTTAGAAATGTCATAGCACTTATTTCTAAAACAGTTTGTTTAATATTTAGGAGTCTTATTTATTGTGCCAAAAATTTTTATCAAGAAGAAAATAACATCATCATTTCATAACGCAATTCAGAAGACTTTTTTTTTTCAGAGCTTTTTGGCAAAGGAAAACACAAAATATGCTATAGTCTCTGAGCATTTATGCTGTTACCTGCGACCTAGTCTTGGTTTTGTAGTGTCACGGTCACATACATGTACATACCCATTATTCTCAATCTCTTTCTCCCTCGTTCTACTGAACTAATTTTCCTTTTCTAGAGCTTTTGCCGGCAATCATTCATTTCCCCCTCTTTTGTATCTTTCTTTCTTTTTGCCTTCTACTATTTTCCTCCATTTTATTTTTGTTTTCCTCTTTTTTTTATGCCTCCGCCACCGAAGGTGGTGCCGGAGGCATCATGTTTTCGGATTGTCCGTCCCGTTTGACCGTTATCACAATATCTCAAGAACCATTTAAGATTTAAACTTAAGACTCGGGAATAGTATTTATCACCATAGGAAGACGATCTGATTAGATTTTGGAGTACGTAGGTCAAAGGTCACAGGTCACAGAGGTCAACTTATGAAATTCCTTGTATTGAGTTTGTTAGCGCGATATCTCAAGAACCATTTGAGATTTAAACTTCAAACTTAAGGATAGTATGTATCACCATAGGAAGACGATCTGATTAGATTTTGGAGCACGTATGTCAAAGGTCAAGGGTCACAGAGGTCAACTTATGAAATTCCATACATTGAGATTGTTATCATGATATCTCAAGAACCACTGGAGATTTAAACTTCAAACTTAGTGATAGTGTGTATCACTATAGGAAAACAATCTGATTACATTTTGGAGCACGTAGGTCAAAGGTCAAGGGTCATAGAGGTCAACTTATGAAATTCCATACATTGAGATTGTTATGATATCTCAAGAACCACTGGAGATGTAAAAACTTCAAACTTAAGGATAGTATGTATCACCATAGGAAGACGATCTGATTAGATTTTGGAGCACGTAGGTCAAAGGTCAAGGGTCACAGAGGTCAACTTATGAAATTCCATACATTGAGATTGTTATCATAATATCTCAAGAACCACTGGAGATTTAAACTTCAAACTTAATGATAGTGTGTATCACCATAGGAAGACAATCTGATAAGATTTTGGAGCACGTAGGTCAAAGGTCAAGGGTCACAGAGGTCAACTTATGAAATTCCATACATTGAGATCGTTATCGCGATATCTCAAGAACCACTGGAGAATTTTCACTTCAAACTTAATGATAGTATGTATCACCATATCATAATATCTCAAGAACCACTGGAGATTTAAACTTCAAACTTAATGATAGTGTGTATCACCATAGGAAGACAATCTGATTAGATTTTGGAGCACGTAGGTCAAAGGTCAAGGGTCACAGAGGTCAACTTATGAAATTCCATACATTGAGATTGTTATCATGATATCTCAAGAACCACTGGAGATTTAAACTCCAAACTTGTTTAAATTGCTCTATGGCGGAGGCATCATTTTCGACTGCGCGCAGTCAAAATTCCATCTAGTTTAATTATATTTTTTCCCCCATAATTTAGAATTTTTTAGTTACATATTTGTCTATTTATTGATTTCTAAACATACTTTGTTCATGTTATATTTTAAAACAGCATCTGAGGAACTAACACTTCAACAAGCCCTGCTTCAAGTTAGTTCCTCTTTCTCATGCTTTTTTTCCATTATATTTTTTGTTTCATTGCAATTTTTTTGTGATATAATTATTCATGTATTATGTTTTGCATGAGAAATAAACTCATTTGAATCTTGTTGAAATATGACAATACATTGTATGTTTGTGTTGTGTTCTTTACAGGTGTAGACACCATGCTGGCAGTGAATCCAGTCCACATAGAAATGTCTGGTGGCAAACTGAGTAAAGCGATGTCCCGACTGCGTCACAGAATACGCGGCTTTCCACACGTAAGTCTTGCTATGAAACAATCATCAATTTTTTTACTTGATGTACTCATAATTCCACAGTGCTTCGCGTTACCCCCTCTTCATTCTATATCAATCATCTTTTACGTTATACACTACTTTGATTTTAGAAAAACATGCAGGGATTCAAACCCTTGACTGATGATTTGACTGGTATGAGGAGGCCTGATAAATTCCCGATTTAAATAGGTTTCCCAATTTTGTTGTTATTCCCTGATTTTCTTTGTTCCCCAATATTTTGTGGATTTTTTTTTTTTTCATCCAAAAAGATGGATAGTCCTTGAGATTGATGTAAATCCGGTTTAGAATTAGGGGGGGGGGGGGGGGTAAGGTGCTGTTTATCCATGACTTGCTTGAACCTGTTTGTTTGTTTTTTTAACTCTCACTAAAACCTTTTTTTTTTAATGCTCATGATCACCTCTGTATAAGGCTAAAATAAGATTTGCAATTGAGTTTGAAGTTAGAAGTGGGTATAAAGTTGGGTCCGAGGTTGAAGTTTGAATTCATCTACTGTAAAACTAAAAGCGTTTTCAGGCATGAAATTTTGCAATTTTGCTTGTGGATGAGATTTGCAAAGGTTCAGTGCTGTCAAATATAAAATCATGGCATACAATTCTGTTATTTGGGATAGTTTTAGTTTCACAGTTGCGTGAAATTTACCACTGAGCAATAAGTGAGTTCGTTAATAGCTTCGGAACGCATGACCCTAAAATATTTATGGATGGATACGTCCCACTTGTGCATTTTTAGAATAATCACTGCCAAAGTGATGAGGGTGCTTTATGAATACCTTTTGTTTGCCTTTTAAGAAGAATACTTCCACCTGTGTATCAAATAAATGTACTGTCGGCGCATAAATGAATATATAACTTTCATGAGCACGATACCAGTAATCATCTCTTAATGGGTTATACAATGGGGAATGAATAACCTTTATCTGCCCATGTGCAGATAGTACTTACGAACTGGCTTATTGTCACTGGACCATGTGCTACATTAAAAATCTGTCAAACTCTCTGTTCATGTTCAATTGACCCCTTTGAAGTCTCCTTTCCTCAAGGATTAAAGGTAATACAAAGTTTTGGTATGGGGTCATGAATTTGGTTCAAATGAACATATTGGAAGCATATGCGTTCCTACAATATCCATTGATTGTTTAAATTTATGAAATTATAAATAATAAACTCTTTATGTTGTATAGCTCCCTCTCAAAGTCAAGATATTAATTTAGCTATGAAACAATTTTTATTGACCCAAATCGACCGATTAGCTATTCTCGTTTGGAAATTGTATATCACAACTATATATTCTGAGATTTTCATGGTCGCAGCTACCATTGTACGGCCATAGGCGCTATCTGAAATTTATCAAAATTTACCTGGAGCACTGGTAAATTTTTATATTCAATTTTTCTCGAAAACAGAAGTGTTTTGGGGGCTAATTTTTTCAGTGCTTATAAATACATCCACAGGGGCATCCAAATATATCAAATTGTAAAGATTCACTTTCCACCCAATTTTCAAAATTTCACAAAACTTTGTATTACCTTTAATCTATTCATTCTGCTCTCTATGATTTTTCCATACAGAAGCCCATTGTGACTTTGGCGCCCAAGGCCAGGATGCTACTCCTGCAGTATTCACATTCCCTGGAGGTGTGGAAACTAGGCAACACACAAGCATCCTCAGGTGAACGAGATGAAACCACCAATTCTTTTTTCTTCAATTCAATTGTTTTATTTTTCCAAATCATTAACAAATTTACATCAAATACAATTACAAATACAATTCATGTACAGTAACATAATAGATAAGGTGAAAAAGAGGGAACCAAAATAGAGCAGAAGCCTGAGGGTTGAAAAGTTCCTCAGAACATTATCATAATCAAACTGTGTACATAAATGAAAAGTAAGACAAATATTCCAATATAACAGTTACACTGTACAAGACAGATAGATAGAAAGATAAATGGATTTTATTAACATCTTCGTGTCTGGCAGTTAAAAACTGAAATGAACATGAATAACAAAACAAATTTCCAAAGAACATTCACATAATAATATGAGATACCAATAGGTCACTTTCGCAATGCACTCAAATGCAGTCGAATGGAAATACCAACAAGCTTTCACAATCGCCCGCTGAGGGACACTGCACTCCAATAGCCAGGGCGCGGACCGCATACATCAGACGCCGCTAGACCGGGCAAGCTATAATGCTCGTCCAGCCCAGCAACGACTAATGCACGCAATCCTCACCCCGACAACCAAAACACAGCAATCCTCGGCAGGCGAATGCGATCATTCATCTCCAGGCACTCCATAAACACTTGCATATAATCTGAATACATTAGAGAATGGTATTGCTTAAAACATTAAAAATATAAATTTGTGGGTATTTTTTTTTTATAGACAAAAAGTTAAAAAGTGTATAGTTCATACCAATTCGTTCCCATTTTCACGAAGTGACGGCAGTGAGGAAAATCCGCACGCAAATTGTATGCGATCTTCATTCACTCCCGTCACCTCGCGAAAATAGGGACGAATTAGGGGATAAATACATTGTATTCTTCATTTCAATGTGCTGTATATTGCACAAATATTTCTTATTTCTTACAAAACTGACAAATCACCACATGGTGACAGTGTTACTTTATACTTTGGTGCTAGTCGGTCAAGAGCATAGTGGTCAGTTGACATTGATTTATAGGCGTTTTGTTTTCACTATGGTATGTCATGTATGATTTCATCCATTTCCTATACTGAATTAAGGGCTGAGGCATAAAGGAGATGCAGTTGCATTTGTCTTGTTACATCTAGATGTAACCTTGGTTTAGTACTCCATTTATTTTCTGACATTACCATAGCTCTAGATTACCATACTTTTAAATCTTTCCAACCATGTAAAACAGTTGATAAATTTATGCCATCTCGTCTCCATGTACGTGTATCTCCTTAATGAAATAAAAAAAGGTCTCTTGCCTCCCTAACAACATATTAAGTAAATTTAGAATGAGGGTTCGGGTGTATTCATGATGGAACCTTTGTTAGAAAACAAGATTTACATTTTAGTTGAACATAAATCCCTTGATGCATTTGTGGGAGTCGAGTTGGAGTAAATTGGAGGATCAATCATAGATGGCCGACATATATCTATTCATCAAATGTCACACAGAAACTTAAAAGCTTTGAAACTGTGCCTCTCATCCAGGAAGGCATAAAAATAGTAAAGATATATCCGTCAGGATATAATGTTTCTCCGAGTATGAATGTATAATGAATTAGGGGGTTGACAAGTGCAATTGATGTAATCTGTTTTTTCAATGTTTTTTCTTTTCTTTTCTTTTTCTAGATGAAGATGGAAAAGTTTTGCCATTATCTGAGAAGCCGGTCAAGTTACTGGAACTTAGAGCAAAGGTAAGAATCTAGAACTGTTCTGGGATGGTGGTACCAAAGGTGTATCCACGATTTTGATAGGGAGGGGGGTGTAAAATGAGAGAGCATTTTTTTCTTCTCTCAGCCTCTCTCTCTTTCCCTCCCCCTCTCTTTCTCTCTTTCATTCTTTATCTCTTTCTCTCTCCCCCTCTCCTCCCTCCCCCTTTCTTCATCTCTCCCCCTTCCCCTCAGCCCCCCTCTTTCTCTCTCCTTCTCTTTCTTTCTCATAAACGGGGGGGGGGGGGGGGGGGGGGGGGGGGGGGGCTTCAATCACCCCTGAATCCACTTAGGGATACATTCTGCTGGATCATAGCTGATTAGTATGAATCTCTGGAGATCTAAGAACTTTCTTTGAAATTTGATTTGATAGACTCTCCATAACCTTTCTGGAGATATTTACCGTAGACTAATGCCACTGCAGAGTTGTTGTATTTGAGTGATTTAAGCACTTGGCTTGAAATGCGAAGGTTGTGGGTTCGATCCCGACACGGCACTAACGTCCTCTGGCAAGGCATTAACCTACATTTACCACTCCATACCCAGGAGGAAAATGGGGACCTGGTAGGATGTAAAAATCCTTTGTCTTTGTAATTGCCGGACCATATGGCAGGATACTACCCAGAGAGTGAAGATGGTGCAAATTGTGTGTGAATGAATGCAATGACTGAGGTAAAGCACTTTGAAACCGTATTTTGGTATTGAAAGCTGTTTGAATCCTGATTATTGTTATTATTAGACTGAAATATAACTAGATGAATAGAGATAAAGCTGTCGGCAAGTATCCCAGTATACTAAAAGACTGAAAGTAACAGATAATGTGGATAAATGTCTTTATAACGCCAAACTTGGGTTTTAGACCCAAGACTTCTTAATTGGTATTTGCTAATTGCTATTTTTCAAAAGAAATGCTTCAAGAACCTTGATTCAAGTCGATCTCATAAAGCCACTGCTCTACCTTAGACTTAGCCCCCTCCTCTTTTTACAGGGAAAAAGTTGATGCCCGGTTGGATTTCTATAAGAGCTTTTATGAGATTTGTATCAAGGTTATTGTAGCTTTTCTTTCAAAATAACGCTAATAGCTCGTTTATCTGTTTGTTTATCTATCAGCTCATTTACATGAACAAGTTTTATTCCTTTTCTTGTAAAGCAAAGAGTTTATGTTTGATAGTTAATTCAACATCATTTTCTCTGCAAAAGACAGGGGGTGGGGGTCAACTTTTTTTAATAGTAACTATTAAAGATATTTTGTAATTACATAATAATCTGGTCTGGTGCCGTAAAGCGTACATAGATGGGAAAATATACAAGTATTAGGGTGCGTTCAAGCGATTTTTTGAAGCTAGAATCACAAACATGAATCACAAATCAAAACGGCATTACAAAACACGGTTACTGTGGGAGATCGTTCAAGCGATTATCCATCAACGCTGATTCTCGCTTATTTCAAGCTCATCCACTATACGCATCACACTGCCCAGTTTGACACAGGACCTGGGAATGTGTTCACGGTCGACTGTCGGCCAAACTGGAAGCAGGCCAGGATAATGACGTCATGGAATCATGATTGAGAACTGTTGCATTCAAGCGATTTTTAGCATCATGTTACAGAACGCATCTTTTTCAGAATTTTCATACTTATGCTTTGAAACTAAGGCTGTGCACAACAGTGTAATGAGGTACTCGAGTACACTCCCAGGCTTACAAGCGAATACTCGAGTATTCGGACGCCATGTTTTTTATAATTTTTTTGAATTTTTCAAATTTTTTTGATTTTTTTTTTAAAAAAAAAGGTTTTTTTTTTTTTTTTTGGCCACCACCATACCACTGGGGCAGTATCTCATGTCGCCGAAAATGCATGCAATTTTACTTTGAGTTGCAGTTGAAGGCGCCGATTTAATAATAATAATAACAGTAAACAATGCTGTTTTAAAAACCAAAGATGGCAGAATAATCCATTTTCCTCCAAGTCCAAACAGAAATCCAGACATTTGGTCCCAGTTTCTGAGTGGTGAGTTTGACAGTGCTTGAGTTGGAAGCATTTTTACCGACGGCACCATGCCAGCGGCCGCCGCTCACCCAGGCACGGGTAAGCGTCGGCCTGGACAGATTTTTTTTTTTTTTTTTTTTTTTTTTGCGGCCGAATATTCGGGTACTAAAAATCGTACCCGAGTAGTTGTCAACCGTGCAGGTACTCGAGCATTCGACTTCATGTCGCAGCCCTATTTGAAACACGTTTATTTTTACGACAGACGAAAAATCGCATGAACGTAACATGTCTTAAACTAAACGTCTTTGAAAAACGTGTTTCTAGACTAAAAAAGTGTCACTTGAAGGCACCCTAAGTAACATGGAATAATTCTTTTTTTCAAAGCTGCTGTATGTTGCTGTTGTAAATCAAAACATGTCATTCTCAATTTGATGGGGATCACTGTTGGAGGAAGTAATATGCATGACATTATGCTTGAACATTTAATAATGCTTAAGAAGCAAAAAAAATGACATTTCGTGCACATTTTCTTATTAAGGACCTTGTCTGTAAGCTAGATCCCTTCTGTAATTATTTTTGTTATGCCTCCGCCCTCTTATACTAAATTAAGGGTAGATACATATACGTCATCTTGCTACTTCGCAGCGTAAATCAGAAAGTAAAAACAGAAAGAGAAAGTGATAGAATGATGAAAAAAACAAAAAATAACATAAGACAGGTGATAGAAGGAATAAACAAAGAATAACATAAGGAAAGACAGAAAGAGAAAGTGACAGAATGATAATTAACAGAGAATAAAAGAAGAGAAGGTGAAAAAATGAAAAACAAAGAATAACAAGGAAAATAGAGAGAGAAAATATTAGAAGAATAAACGAAGAATAACATAAGAAGTGAAGGAAGGAGAAATTGAATAAGCACGTGCGGGGGCCATTACATCATCGTGTAGAGAACGGGCGTCGACTAAAAACAAAAAGGGTTATAAGGTAATGAACAGGACGGGTGTCTGACGCCAATTCGCATCGTTGGAGGACGGGAACGCCGTCCTCGTCCACACAAACGAAAAGCCCCTAATGTCTACTTGTACCTGCAGTCTGAAGCCTAACAAAAACTGATTTCCACATTGCTAGGGTTATAGATTTGAATTATTACATAATCCAGTTAATTATATTTTTTTTTCTTCAGACAAAACACATCCCCTTCCAGTTTAGCTTGGAAAATGTGCTTCAGGGATTATCTCATTAAAGTTTTAAGGTCTAGGCTCACAGTAAATTTATGCAACTATGTCTTGCAGCGTTTTATAGATTGAATGAACGGTATGAAGCCATTTCTGTATGCAATTAAAAATGGGTCATTCCTTGTACACGTAGTTCCTGATAAAAAAGAATCCTGAAGAAAATCTTAGCATCATTCATATTTTATGTACTAAGATTTCATGATTTATGTCTCCCCTGAAGCTTTATTGCTTTACTAAAATTACATTCACAATATAAGTTTTAATGGTGTTACCGTATTGATGTTATCTCTTTTATTTCAAAAAAATACTTTAAACGTAAAGACCAGTTTTGGAAACGACCCCCCCCCCCCCCCCTCTCAAAAAAATAAAATAGAAGCTCTTATTACCAATCATGTGAAAGATTTTTTTTTTTACTTAATGATACAAATGTTGCCGAGAAACCGCCTACTAATTGATATATTTGGTAAATTATTATATCTATCTGGACCGGATAGATATCGTGCACGTGACCCGTAGTCCCATATACATCTTTCTGTGTACAGTGCTTGTAACTTTATAGAGACTGGGCCAAATTTCTTATCATTTTGATAATTCCAGAACCTTGCAGGACACACCAATACTTATATGCTAGATGATCAACCTTTTCTGATCAATTCCACAACGTTTCTTTCGCAATGCAATCGCATGACCAGAACTGGTCTTTACCTTTAATGTGTCTTTTAAAGTCAGTCTTGACATGCAGTACTGATGACTGGTCGGTAAATGCGGTCTACCTGGAAGTTAAATGATGATTTCCTCAGAGTGACAAATATGAATTTGTTTCTTTGGAATTGGAAGTTTAATAACCCTAAACTAAAAGGATTGTGTAACTGTGTCTCAGATTCTGAAACTAAATTATGGACATAGCTCATGCTGCAATGATAATTATAAACCTTTAGGTCAGTCAGGACCCCTATGACTGTTACAAGCCGATCGCCTGTCTGATTGTCAAGATATTTATGATTGGAAATCAAAATTTATTAACCGTTTCACTAACGGTTTTCATAACACTACAGTCTATTGGGGAAAGTGAGTATGGTCAATCTGGTCACTCAAAGATTTTTACTTTTTGAGGCTTTTCATGATCATTTTGAAGCGCAATTTTTTTTTAGGGCTTCAATATTACACCATATCACAGGCACTGATAACCCATAGGGCCGTGCATCTCAGATTTAACATTGTTAAAGGATGCCTTTAAAGTATACGAGTTAATGCCGTTCTTGCTCCAAGCAGACAGTTTGAAAGTGGTTTGGCATGAGCCTCCCAGGTCCGGCAGCCAGCCATCCATCATCATCATCGTCTGTCCGTCTGAGGTTTTGAAGCTTTTTTGACTTTTTCATGGGGGAGCCGAAAGAATGGGGTCGGATGCGTTGACGGAGAAGCGTGTAACAAGCTTGTGAGGATGACCGACCGTAAGCTGATTATCAGATGTGTAGGAGGGACTAATTATGTGTTGATTTCATCAAATGTGCAGCCCTTTTTTCACGGGCGAATTAGTGGTGGTAGTAAAACCTGACATATATAGTGACCGCCTCTCTAAAGAGGGCTACTATATTGAAGTAACTCCTTTTCTTGTTTTATTCTCTTGGGAATATTAAAAAGAGTTTTAGAATAGCCAGTTGTGTTTAAAGGCTATTAAAGTCCACCCCAAAAATAATTTGCTTTTAATGGAAGAAAAAAAATATTGAATGGTGTTGTTGGGGCTTAAAAGTGATTATCTAG